ATAATAATAATAATAATAATAATAATAATAATAATAATAATAATAATAATAATAATAATAATAATAATAATAATAATAATAATAATAATAATAAAGTTGGAATGGACCTTGGAGGTCATCGAATCCAACCCCCTGCTCAGGCAGGTAACCCTATACCATTTCAGACAAATGGCTGTCCAGTCTCTTCTTAAAAACTTCCAGTGTTGGAGCATTCACCGCTTCTGGAGACAGGTTGTTCCACTGGTTAATTGTTCTAACTGTCAGGAAGTTTCTCCTTAATTCTAGGTTGCTTCTCTCCTTGATTAGTTTCCATCCATTGCTTCTTGTCCTGCCTTCAGACGCCTTGGAGAATAGCTTGACTCCAACAATGCGGCCATCTGCCTTTCATCCTACTCCCTCTGAATTTCTCCCTTTTACCGGCAGCGAGGGAAAAGTGGGGGGGAATGCAACGCCTGGAATCTGGGTAAGGAGAGAATGAGTGATCGTGCCGACGGAGCGGACTGATGATATATTTCCTGGACTTAACACCTAGAAATCTGCCAGATTGAATCGCCCGGAAGAACTGTGGGGTGGGGGCTGCTTGGGAACACTTTAAAACATTGAATGGTGGGGGGGGATCCCTCAGATCCTGTCTAGCATGCCTGCAGTCAATTTCTCTTAATAAAAATTCCTGTTGGAAGAGACGTTCCAAGAGTTCTGCTTTCTTAAGATGTAAATTGAGGTGGGTCCTTATATCCAGGCTGTAGCCCCTCCTTTGTGAAATATCTCAGGGCTTGCAGCTTTCTCCCCTCCTATTTAACATCTACATGAAGTTGCTGGGTGAGTTTGGAATGAGATATTGTCAGTGATACCAAGCTTTACATCTCTACCCCAGGCTGTCTGAGTGATGTTGTGGAAGTTCTGTCTCAGTGCCCGGAGGCTATGGAGACCTAGATGGGATGCAACAGGCTTCAGCTCACTTCAAGCAAGACCAGGTGGCTCTGGATTTTTGAAGCTCCTGGTTCTAGGGACCTTCCATCTTTGGTTCTGATAGGGGTGGTACTGCCCTAGACAGATTCAGTGCATAAACTCAGGGTCCTTCTGGATTCTCAAAGAGCAGGTAGAAACCGTGCCCAGGTCTTTGCACTTTGAACCGAAGGCTGTGCATCAGTTGTACTTGTTCCTGGATTATATTTTGTGTTATTTTATTTTAAGCTGCCTAGAGTCACATAAAGTCACATAAAAGTGAGATGGGTGCTACATAAATCAACTAAATAAATAGTTAAACAAATTTCTCTTCAGCGTGGAAAATATTAATTCTAATCTCTGCTCTCTATTCTGACTATTCCTGAGACCAAGGATCCGGTCCACCAAGACCATGGGACTGTGCCCCATGAAAATTCATCAGCATCGTCTATGTATAAATAGCTAGAAAAACATTTATTTCAGCCAGTGTTTAAATAACTTTTTAAAACATGGTTTTGTTTTTGTTTTTATGCTGATTTTTTATTTTATACTAGTTTGGTTGGAGAAAAAAATGAGCTGTTTATTTTATCATATGCATTATTTGGTTACTTATAATAACTTGAATTATTTACCGGAAAGACTATCATAACACTTTCAAATTCAATACAAGAAACAAACAATTACTTACAGGAACTCCATCTGCACCGGGAAACCCTGTGACTCCTCTTTGTCCCTATAATGAAAAGGGACATATGATGATGCAGTTTCCTACTTCTTTGCATTTGTTCTTCATAGTGAAGTTGATTTCTTAGAAGTTATAAAATTACCACTTCTCCTTTGGGTCCAGTTATGCCAGGTCTACCTCGTTCACCTTTGTCCCCTTTGTGCCCTGAAAGTCCTGGTATGCCCATCACTCCCGATGGCCCAGGGAATCCTTGCTGTCCAAGCAGTCCTGGTTGGCCCTGTAAACAACAATCCACAAAAGTTTTCAGGTACTGTTGAAAATAGACAAGGTGTATCTGCACAGTAATGAATACATCTGCCTTTGCACTTTATAAAAACCGCAGGATTACAATGGTATCCTTTAAACCAAAGTTTAGTGTGAGTTTAATGCTAATGTCCAGTCAGAAATCTGCACAGCATTTCATTAGGGAGCAGTTCTTCCACATTTCCTGTTGATCATCAAAATATAGAGATGATGAAAGTATTGGACAAGCTGTGGCCACAAGTGGCTTCTCCTGTCAGCAGATGCCAAGAGATTCCATTTTTCACCAAGGGAGATCTGCGAGATGAAGTGACAGAAATGGCACAGCATCAGCAGAACATCTTCCATCAGTTACGCTTAAGGCAATTTCAGTCCTTCCATCTCTCCAGTCTGTTGTGAAAAGTTTGCTAAATATTTTGCAATATTAATGAAAGAAGAATGTTCCAAATGGGATTTTGGCCTGTACAATGTTTTCTCTCGTTTTACTTAACATCTTCATGAAACTTCTGGAGAAAGTTAGCAATTGATTCTTTTGCCTGGCCCAAGGCAAGATATCATCAACAGAATCAATCAAAATATGATAACTACCCAGGACAGGCAGGCTATGGATGTTCTGCATCTTGCCTCTTAAATGAAGACATGCATGAAACAAGTGACATTGAATCCCAACAAGACAGAATAGTTATTTGTCCAGAAATCATGAGTTTCTAGTGGCCCCTTTGCTTAACTTCTGGGTAAGGTTGCTTTCACCTTGAAATGGAAGGTAAACAACATGGTCATCCTCCCAGATTCATGTCTCTACCACAGGTGGAGAATGTGATGGGAGAAGGGGATTTGACCAGATTCAGCTTTTGAGAACAGGTGGCTTTAGTGACAGCTGCTCATAGCTCTTACTACTTTGAAGATGGACCACTAAATATGTTCTATCTGTGACTTCCATTGAAGGCTACTGGAAATGCAATGATCCTAGATAAAAACTGTTTTAGAAGCATTATATTGATAGTGTAAGGCAGGGGTGTCAAACTGCTGGCCCACGGGCTGGATGCGTCATTCCAAAACCGCGCCCACCCCATTGCCAGCAATGGCAAAAAAATCACGATACGTTGCAACACGTCATGTGACGTTGCGAGTTTGACACCCCTGATGTAAGGGATGCCCTGGTTACCTGTTTGTTTCCAGGTACATTTCAAGTTGCTGGTTATTATTTATAAAGACTTACACAACTTAAATTCAGGTTATCAATGGGACCATCTGCTCCCTAAAGAATATATCCCGTTTTGTTCAGTCCAGCTGTAAAGGAGCACTGGGTTTCTTCTCGTCAGCAAAATAAAATAGCTAGGACTGGAAGTCAGCCTTTTCCACAACTGTCCTCTCCCCTGTGGAATATGGCTGCCTCCCCCCTTAATTCCTATATTTTTGTAGAGCAACAAAATACTGGCTATTTAAGAGAGCATTTGGGGCTTGAGAGTTTTGATTTGTTCTAACTATTAAAGTTAGTTACATTCTGACTGTTGTTTCTGCTTTTCTGCTTATTGTATTATTATTGTTATGTAAAGAGCATTATTGTTGTTGCTGTTAACTTATGAGTTTTCTTATTTGGATATTAGCAGCCTGGAGTCTTTTGAGCTGGGTGGGTTGCAAAAGTTAGTTGGGTAAATAATAAATAACCACTAATAATAAACTATGTTTGAAACAAATGCTCATACAAAAAGGCAGGGCTTATACTGCAGTGCTGCAATGTCATTTTTGTATGAGCCAGGGCAGATGCCCTTGCAGCTCTGCAGATGGGAAGCTTTCTGCAGTAAGTGGAAGCTAGAAGGAAACCCATACAACTCCTCTCTCTGCCTCTCCAGGTGCATTCAGTACGGCTACATAACTAGACAGATACAGGTAATTATAAAATGGTAGCAAAGAGATATGAAGATACTACATCTTTACTGCCTTCTAGTGATTATCTGGATTTTTGCAGATCAGCTATTTTTGCAGATCACCCTATTTTTACTCGGGCACCAACATTGAAATAAAGGTTGATATCTTGATTTCTCGAAATTGGAAAATCTTATTCATAAGCCGCTGTAAAACTTTATCAGTGAAACAGATGCTTGGTTTTTATTCATAATTTAATTTCTATTGATACAAAGTACAAAATTGCCCAGAGCACACTCCCTGATTTCATGACTGCCTTTAGTCCATCACTGCTTTGCAATGAAAGTCTCTCCTAGTTCAAAGATTATCAGAAGAACTGATTTTGCAAACATTATGGTGATAAAAGGAATGTTGTTGGTTTCACATACTGCAATTAATCATATTACAGTAATTTTGCTTTATTTGGCTTAGCAGCATGTGGAAACCTACCCACTGTACTCTCTAAATGATGGCTTATGGGATGTGAACCAGGATGCAATAATTTATTCAAGTATCCCTGGATACTTGGCACAATGTGTGAATCTTTTACTTGTGTTTGCCATCACTACTGTATTTAATTTATTGGAAGCCAAGTCCAAATCCCTGTTCAGCCAGGAAATCCTGTATAAGGATTTTAGCCAAAACATGTTGAGCTTCATGTCAAAACATCAATTTTATATCATAGAGTTCTCCGGTTTTTAACCATTTTAAATTTTTCAAACAGACCTTTAGATGGCACTAGTTGCCTACACTCTTAACATTATGTACTGTATAGAATTGCACTTTTAGGAAATAGGGACCTTCAATAACTCAAATCCCATAATAATGAGTAGGTTAGCAAAGAAACTAGAAAGGTGAGGTATTATTTTTACTTGTGCAAAATCCACCAAAGGAAATGCCAGCAGTCGGTTTACTGGCACCTTCTGTGGTGGCTATTAAACTATCTGATCCCTTTAATTTTTATTCTCTTTTTATAAATGGGAATTTGGCATGTATGGCCACATTCTGTTTAGAAAGTAAAAGTTGGATAATTGCTTTTTCAGAATTGTGCCCAGCTGATAAAAAAAAACACCAACCCACCCCACCCTGAAAAACCAGAAAGGGTGGTAAGGGATCCCCAGCTGGGTGACCTTGGGCCAGTTACCCTCCCTCAGCCCAACCCACCATGCAGGATTGTTGCTGTGGAGAAAATAGGAGGAAGGTGTGTTGGATTTTGTTCACCACCTTGAGTTATTTGTAAAAATAATAAGTTTGGGATACAAACAAACAAACAGGATATTAATTTACTAATAGCCTTTGGAAAACAGTTGTCATGATTGGCACAGTTAAAGGAAAACAACATAAGGTGGATGGTTGGATAAAAGACCTCCATGAAATTTCATGATAATTACAAATTATTACTAATGACAGATTAGGATGCTAACATTACCAGATGTTAAATTGAACTTGATGGTATCTTATAACCTAAAACAGTATTTTTGTTATTAATCCTATCAGCCACGTGAGGAATATGGATTGCATTTTGCAA